ACAGGTGCATCTGAACCATATGTTCCGTGGCAGGCAACCACTGATCGACGTAGTTCACCCCCCTTTGAAACAAACAGTCTTTCCCCTCAAACTGTTTTTCTAGGTGTCAGACCCTTGCTAAATAAATTATTTTTGCTCCAGATTCTGGTGTTCGTCGATTTGCAGAGATTACTTCAGTAACTGAGACATAGTCAACAGCTGCGGTGACTGACTCCGAATTCTCACTGCCCAGGCTATAATCGCATTCGAAATGATCGTCAAGACAGTCGTGATGGGGGGAAGCTGCATCTACGTTAAGCAAACGCGCGCCTTTTTGCCGTTGAACCTCCTGCATATTTCTGTCGTAGAGGGTAGCTACTGGCTTCAAGTTACCCAAAAAATTATTGTTCATTACTAGTTTTCAGTGTTTATCGGCCAAACAACGATACTGAAAATTTGAATCGTTGTCTCTCACAGGCGTTTCATGCCGCGGTCGACTTAAATTTTAAGTGTCAGTTGCTGCAGGTGACTTCAATCCTCTTGAATTCCGCTAGTTTCCGCAATCTGGCCCCAACAGTTCGAAGACTTGAGGATGAAGATGTTGGCATGTGGAGTTGTGTTGAAACTTTTCGCACCGGAAGACCAAGTAGACATGGCCTTGTTTTCTGTGCAGTGATTTACCGTAGAAGTAACGTGCCATTGTCTGTGTTATACCTAGCCTCACTCAGGGAAACAAACTACGACACAGTTGTTTTTACGATTGGAGTAGAGGTTAAAGCACGTAGAACGACCGGGTTTATACTCAGAAACCTTAAAACTAGAGACATTAGAATGCGCCTTTACAACATGTATGCTAGACCTGGTCTGGAATACTGTTCGTTTTTATTTAGCCTCATGCGTACTACTGAGCGGAAGAAAATAGAATCAGTTCAACACTTTTTTACCAAGAGAATTTTAACCCCGGAACACCGACATTTGTCTTACCAAGAACGTTGCCGGCTTACAGGCCTCGATCCTTTATGGTTCCGTAGATTACAAAAGGAAATATTTTTGCTATTTAAACTCTTATATAATCACACATTTAACCCGCTCACCTCTTTAAGACATCATATCCACCCACGACGTAACAGTCGCCGTGAGGTCTTTTTATTTCTTCCTCTGGCACGTACTGTTAAATATCGTCGGTCCTTTTCTGTAAATGCAACTGCTATTTGGAATAAACTACCCAGGAATGTAAAAAATCCGCAAAATTATCCTCTATTTAAGAGAACTATTACTCGATTTTTGCATTCAGAAAAGCTCCCACACATTTTGGGTTCTGAATCCACTGATCGACTGTACCGTAGCGATGGCGTTTGTGGTCTCTGAACACTATGGCCGGTCTCACCAGGGACAATTTTTTGGCCAGAAGCGACAGCTGTTCCTTGGCGCCTCTACTTTGACTATCCCCATCTTTATGAAAGGAATTGGCGTCTGATAATCTCCGATACCGTGTAACCACTCCCTTCTTGACGGTCAAAAGTTTGCCGCCAGCAGTTTTTTTTCTCCTGAACCCTCTAAACCATAAAAACCATCAACTATATTTTTATTCCTTTTTCACAGGAGGTTTTTCTTCATTGCTGGCCGGATTTGTGTTTACCGCTTCCCTGACAATGCCTGCAAACTGGCATTCAATACAATTATTATTATTACGGTGAAATTATATCCCCAAGATATAGCTTTTTCTTCGATTTCCGATCAACCAGTTCGGCCGAATTTTTAGCACGCTTTCATTCTTGCGACTGGTCTGATTTCTTTTTAAGTTCACGTATAAATGTTCTCACAGCCATACTGTACGAAATTTTGGATCCTCATATTTCTCGTTTTGTCTTCTGTAGGGAAATAATTAACGTCGGGTATGAGGTTTTCCTTCCTTTATCCCTTTTTCGCAGGTTGCGCAGACTCTGTACTCGATTCCATTTGTAGAACGGTGTTTCCGTTCTGGCCTCGATTTGTGATATTTTAAAGCGGACCAAGAGAGTGCTCGACGGGAAACAGCCAGCCGAATAATTTAACTTCTCCGAAAACCACTCGTTGTACATCGTGTAACTTACTTCACGAACGGTACGAACTCATAGACAAGTGAAACATCCTATCCTCCGAGACGTTCTTGGAAATCCTATAACCGATGCTCAGTTAACAACTGAGGAGTTCAATGCTTCCTTGTGTGAAAATATTATTAAAAAAATCCACTGCTCCGCTTTCCGTCATCCAGGCATAGACCGGGAGTGTAATCTAAGTTTTCGTAGTATCATAGCCCTTCGTGTATAATAATAATAATATAATGATAATAATTGTATTGAATGCCAGTTTGCAGGCATTGTCAGGGAAGCGGTAAACACAAATCCGGCCAGCAAAGAAGAAAAACCTCCTGTGAAATAGGAATAAAAATATAGTTGATGGTTTTTATGGTTTAGAGGGTTCAGGAGAAAAAAAAACTGCTGGCGGCAAACTTTTGACCGTCAAGAAGGGAGTGGTTACACAGTAGCGGATATTATCAGTCCCCAAATTTTTCGTGAAGTTAGGGCTAGTCCAACCAGAAGCGCCGAAGAACAGCTGTCGCTGTTGACCAAAGAAATTGTCCATGGTGAGACCAGCCATAGTGTTCAGAGACCACAAACGCCATCGCTACGGTACAGTCGATCAGTAGATTCAGAACCCAAAATGTGTGGGAGCTTTTCTGAATGCAAAAATCGAGTAATAGTTCTCTTAAATAGAGGGTAATTTTGCGGATTTTTTACATTTCTGGGTAGTTTATTCCAAATAGCAGTTGCATTTACAGAAAAGGACCGACGATATTTAACAGTAC